GGGAGGGAGAGAGAGAGAGAGAGAGAGAGAGAGAGAGAGAGAGAAGAGAGAGAGAGAGAGAGAGAGAGAGGAGAGATGAGAGAGGAGAGAGAGAGAGAGAGAGACGAAAAAGAAAAAAAGAAGAACAAAAAGAGAAAAAAGAAAAAAAAGAAATAGAAATAAAAAGAAAGAAAAGATTAGCCCTTCCAACCCATTCCGCTCAATTGCCGGCGGTTCTCACCCTCGCTCCGAACGCCACCACCTCCTCCCCATGCTGTTCAGATCTCGGGGAGAACCATCATGCATACACGACAAACTCTCGCCAACCATTGCCATGCACGGCGGGTAGTGTGTGTGTGGGGAAATGGGGGTGAAGGGCGGATGGGGGAGGTGAAAGGAGGAGAAGGAAGGGGAAGGGGATAGGGAAGGGGAAGGGGGGGAGGAGGAGAAGGAAAGGGGAACGGGGAGGAGGAGGAGGAGCAGGAGGAGAAGGAAAGGGGATAGGAGGAGAGGAGGAGGAGAAGGAAGGGAGGAGAGGAGGAGGAGGAGAAGGAGGGAAGGAGGAGGAGGAGGAGAAACGGAAAGGGGAGGAGGAGGGAGGAGGAGGAGAAGGAAGGGGAAGGGAGGAGGAGGAGAAGGAAGGGAAAGGAGGAGGAGAAGAAGGAAGGGGAAGGAGGAGGAGGATGGAGGAGAAGGAGGGGAAGGAAAGGGGAAGGAAGGAGGAGAAGGAAAGGGGAAGGAGGAGGAGAGGAAGGGGAAGGAGGAGGGAGGAGAGGAGGAGGAAGGAGGAGGAGGAGGAAGGGGAGGAGGAGGAGTAGTTAGTAGTAGTAGGTGATGAGGGAGGAGGAAATAGTAGTAGTAGGATGGGGAGGAAGGAGGGAGGAGGAGGAGGAGGGAGGAGGAGAAGGGTAGTAGGAATGGAGGAAGGAGGAATAGTAGTAGTAAGGATGGAGGCAGGGAGGAAGAGGAGTAGTAGGATGGAGGAGGAGGGAGGAGTGAGGGGAGGAGGAGGAGGAGGAGTAGGAGTTTAAGGAGGGTGATATGGAGGAGGAGAATAGTAGGGAAGTAGTAGGAGGATGGAGAGAGGAGGAGTAGAGGAGTAGTAGTAGGAATAGGAGGAGGGAAGAGCGGGAAGAGCAGGAGGAAGAGGGATTTAAAACCCCGACGTGCCTGGCTTACTATCCTTCCCAGAAATGACCCACTAATCGACAAAATGGCGTCCACACTGGCTTTCAAAACACAGTGACGCAATAAAATCAACGTTGGACAGCGACATAACAGAGTCTGACAAGATCCAGCACTTGTAAAAACTTCTAACAACCGACAAACAAAAACAATCACGCGTTTTTTTAGCGTACAAAAACAAAATAAAACAAAATCACGAGTTTGTTAGCGCACAAAAATATACGAGTTTGTTAGCTGGCACTAACCAAAAAAATCACGTGGTTTGTTAGGTGGCGCACAAACAAAAAAATCACGAGTTTATGTTAGCGCACTAACCAAAAAATCACGAGTTTGTTAAGCGGCACAAAACAAAAAATCACGAGTTTGTTAAGCGCACAAAAATCCAGCGTGTTTGGATTAGCGACACGAGACGGAGGCTAACAAAGCCCCCCTTCCTCCCTCTTTTCCATTCCATTGTTGTAGATAGCTCGTTAACGACGTTTATTTATAGCGTAGAACCACCAACCCGATCAGTGCAGTCACCATCTTTCACCCGAGTCTAGCAGTCCTCTGTGTGGAAGACTCCTGCCTTTTTTCTTCTCTCTCTTCTTTCTTCCTTCTTTTCTTCTTTCAACTCCCATCTCTCTCTTCTCTTCCCCTCTCTTCCTTCTAACCCGTCCCCCCCTCCCTCCTCTGTCTGTCTTTCTTGTTCTGGACTGTCTCCCTCATTCCCTAAGTCACTACCTACTCTCACTCCCCCCTCCATGCTACTACCCCCCATTCCCACTCTCCCCTTCTCCTCAATACGCTTCTTCCGACCCAAAAGCCTTCCCATATAAGGAAATCTTTGTATTGTTCTCTTTTCCTTTTTCTTTCTCACCGATTTACACGTGTTCGGAAGCTCCTGTCCGCTAAGAACTTTCGTACCGTTTCGCCTTGGAGAAAAATAAACCAAGTTACAAATATAAAACAAATACACAATGTAGATTAACAATAAATAAACAAAGAATAAAATAAACAAATACGTAAATAGAATATAGTAAATACATAAAGTAAATAAACAAATACACAAGTAAATCAAACAATAAATAAATATAAGTAAAGCCGAATCAGAAGTAAATTCAACCATATAAACAAAGAAATAAAATAGACAATACAACAAGCTAAATACTATAAAATAAAGCATAGTAAATAAACAATTACATCAAGATAAATCAACCAATTAAAATAACAAATAATAATAAAATAAATACATTATATGGAATAAATAGGCAAATACGAGTGACACATTTCCCCCAATAAATCCCTGACTCAAACACCAGGAAAACGAAAAAAAAGAAAAAAGATAAAAGAAAAAGATAAAATGTCAAGGTATTTCCTGTATACCTTCACTTTTTTTTTCCCTCTTTTTTTATCTAACCAAATATCTAATCGTATCTAGCATTACAAATAATACCCCGGTCATGTTTCCAACGTGATTCCGCCTTATCGGTCCCCGGCAACACTCGATCAGCTGATAACAGGCGTAGTCATCGAGATTCTCAACCGCGCTTCGGAATTGTTTGTGTTAAATGGGGTGAAAAAAAGTAAAAAATAAGCAAACGCGTAAACGTATAAAACAGGCAACAAATAATACAGACGAACACAATAAAAGGACAAACATTTATAAACAATAAAAAAACAGCACAACAATAATACATGAGCAAATAAAGACGAAAAAATTAGATAAACAAACGAAGATTAAATGAAACAGACAACAAATCAATAAATAAAATTAAATATAAAAATCTTTAAAAAAATAAAGTAAATAATTATGACGAACAAAAAGCAATGAAACATAAATAAATTAATGATAATGATCATTTATTGATTGTGATGACGATTGATGTATATAACTAATTGAGGAAATCAGACCC